AAAAAATAAAAACAAAAGCAAATGTAAAAATAAAGTTGTGCCGGGCGTGGTGGTGCACGCCTGCCATCCCAGCACTCGGGAGGCTGAGGCAGGAAGATCCTTGGGAATTCGAGACCAGCCTGGGCTACAATGTTCGCTCAAGGCCAGCCTGAACTGCATAGTGAGACTCTGTGTCAAAAAGGAAAAAAAAATTAAAAATAAATTCAGTTGTGTTTGCCCTCTACTTTCTCTTTTGTTTTGTTTTGTTTTAAAACAAGGTCTCGGGGCTGGGGATTTAGCTCAGCGGCAAAGCGCCTGCCTGGCAAGCGCAAGGTCGTGAGTTCGGTTCCCGGTACCGGAGAAAAACCAAAAAATGAAAAATTAAAAAAAAAAAAATAAAACAAGGTCTCACTGTGTAAATTCAGGCTGGCCTGGAAGTCATGGCGATCCTCCTGCCTCAGCCTCCTGAGCACTGGAATGACAGGGGTGTGCACCACCACACCAGGCTTGCCCTCTACTGTAAAAGCTACGAAAGTTATTCCTCACTTCTGTGCAATTAGAATCTTCGTCACCCTGGGTTTACGGTGGAGCACACCTGTGATCCCAGCCCTCTGGGAGGCCGAAGCAGGAGGATCTCAACCTCCAGCCTTGCCTGGGCAACCGGGTGACTTACGAGACCCTGTCAAAGTGAAATATGAAGGTGGAGAGGGCACCCCACTCCACTCCCGGGTACCCTGATTCCCACAGTGTGCCTACACGGACCCCAAGTCCACGTCCCCCGGGACCCACAAACTGCAGGGAGGAGGGCGCCCCGTCTCTGTGCCCGTCGTTGTCCCACCGCGAGGACCCCGTCTGCACAACCCGCTGGGGCCCTGGGACCCCTCCCCCGGCGCCCGCTGCCCCGCGGGGACCCCATCCCGGCGCCCTGCCCCTCCCGGGGCACCCCAACTGCAGGCCCTAGGGGACCCCACGTGCGCGGCCCCGGGGACCCCACCTCTGCGCACGCCCTCACCGCCCCAGGCGGACCCGCCGCCGCGCCCCAGATCCAGGGGTGCAGAGCTGCCTGGGGTGCAGAGGGGGCGGGGCTGCGCTGCGGGGCGTGGCCAGAGGCGGAGCCTGGCCGTGGAGTGGCAGGAGGCCGTGGGGCCGGCGCCTGGACGCGCTGTGCGCGAGGGCGTGGCTTCCTGGTGGTCGGTTTCCTAGGCTGCCTCGCACGGGGGCGTGGCTTCAGTCGACGAGGGGCGTGGCTTACTGTCTTCTGCGTTTCCGGACAAGCGGCTCGCGGAAGCGCGATTTCATTGGCTGACGAGGCCGGTGCTTGACGTGCGTGCGCGGGGAGTGGCCCCCGGCGGGGGCGGCCCCTGCGTGCCTGCGTGGGGCGTGGCCTCACCGGGGGCGGTTACTGCGTGCCATGCGTGAGGCGTGGCCTCGCCGGGGGAGGGTCCTGCGTGCTGTGCGTGGGGCGTGGCCTCGACAGGGGCGGGCCCTGCGTGCCGTGCGTGG